TGTGGTGGAAGAGAGTTGCCCCACTAATCCCAAAATCAGGTTCTCCGACACTGGTGTTGTTTGATCAAGAAAAATTTTCGGAGTTTAAACTGTCAGCACTACGAATTAAGCTGGAATTGTTCATATGTTGTGCCGTTAATAAGTATGTATTTTCGTAATTCCTGTTTCAACAATAACGGAATGATTTACATCACAACACAGGCAGTTTTGCTGCCCTGCGCTATGAGAGTACACTTCCCTGGTTGTACGCGGACATATTGGTTTGGAGCTTCGGTAGGCATTGGTAGGCAAATCTACTCAAAAATATGAAATTCTACATAATTTTGGCGACAAATACTACGTTTGGGGCTTGCCTCTTAACCTGATCGAGTTCGTTAGGGGTGACTGGTAAGTTACAACCCTTAGGTAAAATGTACAAGTGACCCATTACTCTCACCTCTACCTCATAAATCGTAGATTAGTGGTCACTAATATAGTAAGTGCTTATATTCAAAATCCATAACAGAAAGAGCATAATACGCAGCTACTATCTGCTTGTTTCGTGACTTGATCCATCATATGTACACTCGACCACAACAATGCGCCCGTTTTTTGATCTAATCGCTTCACAAAACATGCTTAGTACTTTACACTATCGATATTTTCATCCAACGGTATTTACAGTAACTTTTCCGACACCAAATGTGTATACATTTATTGATTACCACTTTACCAACATACCTCCGGATGGCTTAAAACCAAATATGGAGACTATTGAAACGACAGACACCAATTAAAATAAAAAAATCGTTTCAAATATTTCTATCTTTCATAATGGAGGAGTTGCGAAGGCATAGTCATATATTACTATGAAGAGTGATCGCCGCCTTATAAAACGGTAGTATAAAGCTTTTGCAACATGACTTAACCAACGTACGCAGGAGGCTGCATGTTACTGCATGTTGAGACATATGTTCATGAGTGCATAGTAGCCGCGAGCTGCACGTCTGCTGATTGAGTTGTTCATCCGTATCGAAGAAGAAATGACGCTTGAATTAAAGAATGATTATCCTCATCGACGGCTATATTCAGGTGATACAGAAAATTCCAAAGGGGCAATTTCACTCTGGAGGACGCTGAGAGGGAAGGAAGGGCGCGAACGTCAGTAACAGAGGAAAACATTACTTGACGAAGACCGAAGAGTGACATACCAACAGATAGAGACTTTACACCTTCATGCACCAGCAACTCATTCAATTCTGCATGACCATTTACACGTAAGGGAACTTTGTTCTCTCTGGGAACCGCACAGTCTAATGGAAGAGCAGAAGTCTCATCGTACGACTTGGTGCGGAAGCATGCTGAAATTGTTTGATGAGGGGCAATCTCGGTATGTGAACAGCATCGTGACAGGTAACCAGACTTGGCTCTATTATCACGATGTGCCGACCAATGTTCAAAACAAAGTTTGGGTCTTTGATGATGGTCACTTGCTACCGCCACCACGACAACGCCAAAGCCTACACCAATTATTTGACCACTACTGGACTGAAACTTTTTGAGCACCCTTCCTTACAATCCAGACCTTTCTCACTGCGTCTTTGCACTGTTTCCGCATGTTAAAATGAAGCTAAAAGAAAAACGGTTTGCTACCGAAGAGGACCTTCTGAGGGCTTGGGACAACGAGTGCGCCGCACTCCCGGGTGAAACTTGGCAGAGCTGGTTTAAGGACTGGTTTTAGCGGATGGATAAGTGTATTGAATGTGGTGGAAATTACTTTGGACTGTCAATAAATCAAGATGTATTGCAAAACGTTTATACTAGGCCTGCAGTGAGACTCCGTGTCCTATCGTATTCTACACAGCACTACTTTACTCAAGCGGTACCCTGTGCATCCACAAAATCGACAAGTTGCTATGTTTACCGTCGTTTCATTTCTCTCGGCTCAGGCAGATTTCTATTCACAATGCCATTGCTGACACTTTTGAGCTGTCGCGTTTGTTGATATAAGTTAAGGTGAAAAAACTGACGTCAAGTAGGTTCACTCTGCACTTCCCATGCAAAGCTTTTATCAGTACACAAAGGAATATGTTTAGAACAAACTAGATTCTCTGGGAAAAAAGTCAGTCAAACAGGTTCATACAATTAGTCCATAGGCATTCTTTCCCTGCTCTACCGGTAGTGCATCTGGAAACGTCGCCTCTCCCCGATACCCAACTAGCAAAGTAGTGGTATAAGCTTTTGGTAAAAGAACCGTTCAGCCATAAAAGCTCTCTATTGTTGTTGCCTGAACACAAAAATGCTGGCTTAATGTTGTGTGGAATGCAGATTTGCTTTCTGCAACATATTTGCCCTAAAATGCTCTAAAGTGTTTAAAATATTCTTATAGCATAGTTATACAACACCTTATAGGTCAAATTTAAACGTTTATACAACTATTTTATACGGCATATTTGCACGTTAGTCAAAATGGTTGTGTTGTGGCATCCATGGTAACGTTTATAAAACAAACCGGAGCCTTGTTGTTTTGCTGAGCAATTTACTACTTTAGCCAACAAATTGCTGCCAAAGAAGCACTTATACAACTGTTGTTTAGTAACTGTTAAAGGCTGTACATATGCTAAATATGTTGGTAAACAACTTCACCATAACCTAACTTTCTGCTGTCATATTTTTGTAAAATGCCATAATCAATGTTTTAAGACAAACAACTCAAAGACAACATGGACGATGCCATGATTGTACACAACCACCCGCCATATTGGGCAAACATTTATTCCTCTATTTAATATTAAATAATTATGTTTCAGTTCGAAATTACAGATATAAACACATTAGTGTAATTGTGTCTAAATATAGGATTTGTGGAAGATTTAACGCAGATAGGTTCAGTTTTCCATCTTAAAAATCTAGACATACTTTTGATCATTGTCAAAACATGAATCAAATACGAAGCCCGTAGAAATTGGATAACTAATTTGCACGATAATCATAATAAAATTTGCTGCGCAAGTAATTCAATAGCCCTATATCTCAGTGTAGAAGTTTATCATATACCTGTGTATGAAATTCACAATGGCCGATATGTAAGTAAACAAGATGACTGTAATGTATTAGTTATATATTCTTCACTTCGTCTATACAATACATAAGAAATAGTTTGGTTGTAATAAAGTAGAATCACGTAACAGAATAATTGTATAGTTGACAAAAACTGAATCTTGCACTGACGCAAATGTCGCTGCAAGAGGCTTACACTTTTGTTTTATAAATGTTACCTGCAGCCCTTATTTAACCTTTTAAATGACAGAAGTGTCCTATTAGGTGTGCCCATTCCGCGTGTATAGCTGTTCTAAGAGGGTTTTACCAATGTTCTTACAGTATACAATGCTGTTTAAGGAATACTGTATAATCATTCTTGCAACTCTAATAGGAGTGATAATTGTTAGTCGGGTACCTAACTCGGGCAGACGTGTAACTGCGTTAGCGCAGCCAGAGCATAGAAAACACTATGCTGTTGCGCGGCACAAGTACATGTGATACCAAAACAGAACAGTTATCACGGTCGGCGCACGATGCCAGCAGCAGCCGCGGGCGAGGTAAGCGATCCGTCTCCCGAGAATAGTCTTCAGGTCCAATGTAATGTAATGTCTAATATAAATGTTCCAGCATCAAAAAATTGAGATAAACCTCGCCCACCTCTTACAACACTCCCGTTTTCTTACCTCTAAGTTTTTTTTCAAAATCCAGCAATATTCTCTGAAACCTCAAAAAACTAAGTTTGAGCGATGTTTATTTTTTCATTTTGGGCCTATTTCTCGTCCGCCTCTGGACCGATTTTGGAAAACTAGAAGGAGTTTGCATCCTTGGCAGAGTAGTAACGTTGTCTAAAAACTTCGTCAAAATCCGAGCTGTACTTCTCAAGTTATAGGCCGGTTATAAGATCAGCGGACTGACCGACAACAGACCGACGGAACTGAGTGACATGGTATTTTGTAATATACATGTCACATAACATCCAACAAACATAATATCTCATTTTCCGAATTTTTCGCGATTACAATACCCGCCAGAAGGCATGGGATGTAAGAATATCGTCAATTACTAAGTATGTTATTTTAAGCATAGGGTTGTTGGTATATATTTTCCGATTGTTAAAGAATACTATTTAATACATATTTAAACAATTCCACAGTTCATCAATCGAAAAAAGGACTTTTTTCTTTCTAGGTTTCCCAATCTAGTTGCCTTTAACCTATCTATCTCCCTCGACAACTAACAATTGCGCTCATTTGACATTTGATTCCCACAATAAAATAGGAAATGTGTTGTACAAAACCATAGATCGAATTCTATAGTACATGCAGTTCCAGTCCTGGGTCAAATTGCACTTTTAGAGATTTTATTACATGGTTTTGATTGCGCTCTCAAAACCAATTCTTCCGTTCATAATTCTCTGCCAGCTCAGTCATATACTAGGGCACTGCACGCAGTGACCAATTTTGTGACCAAATTTCTTCGAAATGGTTTTTATTGTTTTTTCGGTTTTCTTTTATTAGATACATAAAGCCAGCTTTTCCAACCCATACCTACTTTTGGAGGGGGTTGCTCACCTTACAGGGTAAGCATTTTTTGTGTAAATATGAGGAAGATTCGTTATCTATTATATTATTTTCAGCGATTACATAAAGTTTCTCGTACTCTTAGTTACAAATTAATTTGTTTTTAGTCATTAATGAAAAGCGAGTAAATAACAGTCCTTAAAACCATCTTTCATAACACGCAAAATATTTTAAAACTTACAAATAATTATTTAAACATAAAGCGATCCACCTCAGTTTGCATCAATAACATACAAAAGCATTTATAAGGATAAAATACTATTAATTAAGAAAGAACTGCCTGAGGAATCAACTTGCGACTTGGCTCTGAAAGCATCGTCTTGATCTAATTTTCGCACTGCTTAAGGAAAATAAAACTACTTAACTCCTCAACTGCGTGAATATTAGGAAAAATAAGCTTTGCTGGTCGGTTTACGCTATACTTCTACGTGGGTGCTATATACCTAGAATACATTCACTGATGCAGCAAGTCTATTTGCGAATTCACGCACAAAGGTACCTTTCAGTGAGTTGTTCTTCATGTGACCATTTGTCTCAGATTTATGAGGAATAAGAGAATAATAACTATCAGTACTCATAAATCAAGATAATGCGAAGCCATAACGTACTTTGTTGCGCTGACAAAGTGCAAATAGAAGCATTTCTGTTTCTCTGAATGAATAACACAACGACGTAATAGCCCAGGAATATTTGGCTTCAACAATAGGTTGAAACCAAGATTTTTACGAAGAAATGTGACACACAAAAAATTTGCATGTGCCATGTTTTGACGTTGTATAATTGAACTCAAAAGTCTTGTATAATATTGTGTCCCTTTTCATTATTCAGACTGAAACGTTACAAAAGTAGGATTTTTGCAAATTTCCCACTTTTACCTCCACCAAATGCCATTTGGTCTAGTAAGTACTTTGCGGACACAGGACACAGCATATTATTATATTCTTTCTCCACTGGGTCGCAGCATATTTGCAAGAACGTAGGATTTTATAGAAAACCAACGACTTCTGACAATAGAAATGTAAGATATGGCTTTGAAGTTGAAAGTGACATTTTTTAAAATGTCAGCAAAATCGTTAATTCAAAGTTAATCAAAAGGGTTTTACATCCACTAACTTAAAATTAATCCATATACACCAAAAATGGGAGGAATCTTGTGCTGTATAACTTTTCTATCAAATGAATTTGTAGTGCAAAAAAACAGGATACTTTCTAAGCAATGGTTTTTGTCTAAATCGGTGCCTATGAAAAGGATCAGGCTCTATAAACGGGATTTTCTCTCTGGGAATAACTCAAATATCAAGTTCATCGCATCTATTAAATTATAGCATTTAATTATTTCGGAACATTGTGTATTTTGAACTTTTGTCGACAATTTTATTTTTATTTCAGTACTTGATTGTTCTTCAAAAGCCCAAGGGTCGCAATGTTGGCATTTTTGTCCAAAAATCGCTTATCTTCGCATAAATAACTCGAGGATTCATGTTTATATGAACTTCTTGAGTATTTTTTAATCTACTTTATTATCCAAGATATTGTTCCTCTTCTCTGAAACACACTATATTATGTGGTTGCGATCTTATGCTCCTTGGCTATAACGACACAAAGGCACCTTTCGAAAGCTGCTGCGACTATAAACATATCTCGATAATGTCATTTCAAATAAAAAACACACGGTTATTTTATACCCTACGCACTATTATTAGATACATAGTGACTATCTAAATCACACACATACCGAGAGTGAATAACCGAGGATTTGAAAGCTATTTGGAAATGGTCCATGTCATACTATACAACGTATAGGCCAGGGAAATTAGCAACAAATTAAACATACAATGATTCTTTTATCACGAATCAGCCACGCAAGCAGAAGCTTAAATACCAGTGCACCACGGCTGTTATAAAGGGCTTAAAGGAACTTTGTTAATCCTATTTCTGAACTTCCCAAGATTAATAGAACTGTAAAAAGCCTTCTCTGTCTGGCAGGCACATCGTGCGGAGACATCATGGATGAGGCTCTGAGGAGCAAAGCCCATTGGCGTAGCGGTAGAAGAGAGCTAGATCGCCGACGGCCGGTCGGTGAGAAAGGGTTCCGAGACTGTCAGTGAGAGAAGAAGAAGGGAGGCTATGTTTTTTACTCATTTCGAAAATATTTTGCTTGATGAATGATACTTCGGATCATACAAGTTACTTATGTTCCCCGTAAGTCCTAGTGTTAAATTGACATCAGAATCGAAATATATAAATACGATTTACCCAAGAAACGAGTCTTTATATCCGTATGGTATGGAGGGATCCATGAAAATTGTATAGAAAACTTGGAAAAATATTCTGCTCCCTTTTTGCATAATCTCAACCACAAAAGGACTTCTTTTAACGAATCTGAGTATTGATAGGCGCAAAATTACGTCATTACTTATCGGTTGAAAAGAATTTCGAGCCGCGAAAATTTTTTCTTCGTTTCTAGGTCATTCTGAACAAAAAAGGTTTTTATGGACTTTACAGTTTTCTAAATATATGCGATACTATCTTAAAAAAGCGAAATGTGCAACCTCCGATCTCAAAAAGCAATAGGAAAAAATGGAAATTTTGATATTGTCAAAGTTTCTAAATATTCTTCAAACATACATTAGTGAAAATCCAGAGCATTTTTGGAGCCACTGTTATTTTTAAATTTTGTTTCGAGTTTTTAATCAAGAGCCCGCACCAATACCCTCTTTTTCACAAGATACAAATGTTCGTTTTTCCGTATTGTTTTTCAGGATATAATATGGTACACTTTATACTTTTCAAATGTTATATCGCTTATATCTCGCTTATATCAGCCTCAACGTAAAGTTATTAAACACAGAATGACCGAAAAGACCCAAAGCCCCAAAAACTTTATGCGGAGCATAGACATTTTTAAGAATAATTGCTTAAAAACATCTTTATGCAATTTTGGTCCCAGCACCATGCAGATGTGTTATATGCGGTCGTTCGTGAATTATAAAGGGTGGCCATCCATTGGTTTCTTTTTTAGATTGGTATTAAAACTATATTCTTCAATAATATTTAACACTCGATACTTTATTCAAAAGAATACACCTTCCGATTATTTGTCAAAAACAATTTCAGTTAAATGGCTGCCGCGGCTGGCCTGGCAGCAGTCTATCCTCTTAACCCAATTTTGAAGCATATTTTCGATAGTTTGTGGGTCTATTTCATCAATAGCTCGAAGGATATTTTCCTTAAGAACATCAATTTTCTGAGGATCGTTAGTGTAACAGCGGTCCTTAACAGTACCCCATAGGAATAATCCATGGGCGTCAAATCACAGCTGCGGGCTGGTCAATGAACGTCTCCAAAACTAATAACGCGATGACCGAACTTCGTGTGTAAAAGATCAATTGTTTCACGTCAAATGCATGTCGTCTAATAGTGGCCTCAAAAAACTAGTCAACATGTCTCTATAGCGTTCCCCGTTTAGCGTCACGCTGTTACCATCTTCATCTTGAATAAAGTAGAGACCAATAATCCCACCACTCCAAAAGCCACACCAAACAGTTACTCTGTTTGGATGCATTGGTTTTTCTATGACGATATGTGGATTTTCAGAACCCCAAATCCTACAGTTCTGCTGGTTAACGTCATCTCCCAGATGGAAATGGGCTTCGTCCGAAAAGATGATTTGGCGACCAAAATTGACGTCCGTTTCCAAATGATTCAGATCCCACACAGAGAAACGATATCGAAGCGGATGGTCATTTTGTTCCAATACTTGCACATGGAAGGAAATAATCCCAGGTCATTATGCAATATTCTCCGCATAGAAGTGCGACTGATGCTCACTTGTTGTGCTCTGTGACGAGTGTTGACATTCTTGAGTTTTCACGCACACTCTGGGCAACACCAGCAATGTTTTCGGCTGTACGTACGGATCGAACACGCTCATACCTTCTGTTATCCACAAGTAGGCTAGTTTCACGAACCTTATTCACGAATTTTCGTATACGAGTCGCGGACGGAGCTTCATTCCAACCAAATAATCTCAATTTTCGCAAAGTTTCTGCAACACGTCGCCCACTTTGATAATAGTTTTTCAATATTTCCACCTTTGTTCAAAATTAAATCGATCCATTGCGCGCAGCGAAAGTTTGACACGATATGTTGAGCACCAACTGTCAAAATAATACCAACTTAAAAAAAAAACAACAGATAGCCCACCCTTTATTATTATTAAAAGTTCTTTTCCGGTACTTGGTACACTAAGATAATGGAAGCTAGTCTATCTGAACATAATTATTAAATAGTCATGAAGTGTTGTAAAGCCGTATAAGGTATGAGTTACGTATGGTCTTCCGTTATTTCTAAAAACAAGTTGTTCCTTCATCTAAAAGCCATAAAGCAACAAAAATATGGGTGACAACATTCAAAGTAACAACTGCTTACTCAAGAAGTGCTTACTAAAATGACCGTATTAACAGTAAAATGAGCTCATCCGCAGATGCAAGATAATGTAGTAGCCGGTATAAATTTTCAATTTCTTGGCAAACGAATACTGTTGTGTTTATGATTTGCCTTCTGCTCCAGTATAAACCACGATGAAAGATTTATTCAAAATTTGTCAGCTTTCGAAAATGCGGGACATGGGCTGGGGGTCTAGGGTAGATAAACAAATATGCTAAAAGTATAATGGTATTACATTACATAGCAATGTGTCAATTGGGACGTTGACAGATTTAGTAGGTGTGAATGGACCTCGCGCATCTGTTTTGGACGAATTTATGCTTTTACTTCCCAGGATGAATTGGAATCGCGAAAAAGTTCTGAAATGAGTTATTATGTTTTTCACACAATGTTACTACTATGCCAAAGGGATTTGTAGCTTTGGAAAAGCGGTCCAGTGGCGTCGGGAAAGGGGCCAAGAACGAAGAAAATTAAAATAGTGAAACTTCGTTCCTTTGATGTTTCAGAGATTCCCGACCTTTTTCGGAAAGATTTTGCAGGGGTTACAATTGGTTGTTGTTGACTGTAGGGGCTAGAGGAGAGTATCTGTCAATTTGTTCTACGTGTTGCATATATCATAGATTTCCCCATACATTTGCCTTTAAAAAGCGAGATTTATGCATCTGCCTGGGAACTATGGAAGATATATCTATATATATATATATGATCCTGTTTGACTGACATGATCCATTTTATTCGTTTGTTATACATGTTGGTAGCCAACTTTTCCCTTAGAGAGACTAGCTTGTGTCGAATATAGTACGTAGGAAGTACAGTCAGCTTACTGGACGTCATTTTTTTAGTACTGATGAATACTTGTCAGTGTTTATGATGCTACCGATTTGTTTTTAAGTCAAGCTGCTTTCAGGGTTTCTTAAATTTGTCGTAGAATGTAAAGATTAGTGACCAAGAAGGTAGAGGAGTTTCTTATAATGTCATATAGAATAGGTACTCTGAGTTAGAATGTCTGTGGCAGATCCTTAAGAATCGGAAAGGGATGTTTCAGTCTAAAAACATGCACTTGCGGCAGAAATTTTTGAGAAGAAATTAAGTGATTCTTACTTCTATTTGGATTACCTTGTATTATGCTCCTAAGAACATGTATTTCAATTAAAACCATCACTTAAACGATTTAGACTAGCTCTATTAACAAAAGAGGAAGTTTGTAATTCGGAGGTATGGGGGAAAGGTTTCTGGAAGTTCCTAAATCGATATGTATGACAAACGACAGTATAGGAGTAGAGGCATACGGCCTAAAATATCATAACAACAGGTATTATATTTATTAAAATATATTGATATTGTGA